CACACGTCATCACCACCTTTCATCACAACTTCTAGCTTTCCACAAAAGGCTTGTGTGGCACAAGAGCTTTATCACGAAAGGTGCCTTCAGGTTGAACATCTCACAGGTTTCTCAGACACACACACATTTCATATAGTACTTTATAGATTTACTTCAACTCCAACTCCCACTACGCAGAACACTTCAACCCCTAACGCCCCGATACCACATTCTTTCTAGTACAAAAGCACATGACAATCTCCTCTCTGGGGATTGACATCTCTCCCTGTGTCCCGGAATGCAAGGAAAGTGCTCATGCTAACGTTTCTTAACACATCTCTCTTTCTACAGAAGAACAGAATGCACAGTAAGCATGGACTGCACCAAGATGGGGAGTTGGAATGCCTGACAGAAGGCTCCTGACCCTTTTTGAGAAATGGACTTTCAAGCAATGAGAGCGAGACTGTGCTCAAGGGGAGATTGGACACTGACAGCTATCCAGTGAGGCAGCCTCCATTTGCTGTTCATCAAGCAGCAGCATCTCAATAAAACGTTGGTGGCGGGGTGTAAGGGTGACCAATCACGGCACTAACAGATCTTGATGTTTTTCTATGCAGCCTCTAGATCCCACTCCCAGGCCAGGACCAAAAGAATTCGGGCCTAGCCCTGAGGTACATCTTTACCAGGCCCCTCGCAGCACACCTTTGACAGGGAACAGCCACAAGCTTCAGAGATCTCACTGTTATGGTCTTCTCCATACCCTCCGCCAGCACAGAGACATTTACAGGGTGATTTATCTAGAGTCGGCTCAGGGCCACTTTCTGGTGAGCACAGCCTTGAAAAGGGCCCACAGCCAGAGGAGGAAAATACTGAGCCCTCTGACCCTCCAGGGACTGCCAGAGAACAGGCTCCTACTGAGCCCAGTACAGATGATTTTCTGGGCTCAGCCATATTGGAGCTGATGGAGATGCCCAGACAAGCAAGTGGCAGTCTGGCAGAGCTGCCATGCATCACATGGAGCAGAGGGGCCTGCCCAAGTTCTGCCTGATGACATGCAAGAGGTGGTAGCCATCTCGGAGAGCCTGGTCCAGCAGAATAGTCAGTGTGTGCAGGATGTATACACTCCATTGCTCGAGCCACAGATGGTTTCATTCACTGACTACACGAGGGATGGTAAGGTGGTGCGAGGGACTTTGGCCATCCCTGGAGGGATAGGAGGGTGCCACTGCGAGTCCAAATTGAGGAGGATATGCTGTGCCATTTCTCCTGTACCCAGGACCCAAACCCCTCCAGCAGCTCAGGCTTCAGGCAGTTGCACCAGGAGACACCCTATGGTGTGCCCGCCAAGTCTTCTGAGCCAAGTTGGCAAAGCAGGCTTCCTCAAGCCCAGCTGGGCCTGCTGAGGTGCACTAAGGCAGAGCTGGAGGACAAGGATGGTGAAACAACCCTGAAGTTACTTTGGGTGTGAGAGTGGCAGCGTTACACTTTACACACACGTAGCAATTTGTATGACACCCCTGTGCTCATGCAAAATGTTTAAGGCTTATGATTATTCACGTCTTCCTTTGTGGGCTATCTTGATGGCTATTGACCATCGCACATGCTCACATTGCAAATCTTGTGCAGCATTGTGAAGAGCTCTGAGCCTCACATTCACTGCTGTCTTTTTGGAGGAACATAACCTCCTGAAAGCTGCTGGGCATTACACTCAGTAGGTGGGTTCTGGGAGTCAATCAGCATTGTTTAGCCCCTCAATATCTCGGTGATGGGTGAATGCTCCCCTGCAGGTCAAGATTTGACTCCCATGCATAGCTCCATACTGATGTACTGGCCAAGAAACCAAACAGAAGATACAAAGGAAACAAATTCATGTACAATATATGCAAAAACAAAATGTTTTAAAGGCAAATATCAAGCATTCCCTTCAGGGTGGGAATAGCTCTGCATAATGATTGTCTAAATTTTTCTTAAAGTATGAGCCAGGCAGATAATAGAGGGATACAGACTATGTGTAAGCAAATGGGATTAGCTTTGACGACATACTGGTCGGCATAGACATTGTGGGCCGAAGAGCCTGTTCATGTGCTATACTGATCTATATGTTCTTTATTTCTAATTGCCCACACACCTTAATGCAAAGTTGTTCGCCCTAAGATCTTGCTGATCCAAAGTTCTCTCAGGCCTTTCTGCATCATCTCACCACTGCTCTGACTTGAATTTAATCTTCTTCATCAGCGGTGACTCCTTCAGCATCTTCCTCAGACTCCCCTTCTTCACTGGTTGAGGATATAAGTGGCTGTCCATCTGCTCGTCTTCCAAGTTATGATCCTATTGTTGAGTGAGGTTGTGCTCGGTACAGCAACAATCACTATTGTGGAGACCGTGCTCAGTGAGTACTGGAATACTCCTCCTGAGACACCCAGACAACAGAAGCACATCTTCAAAAGACCAGCCACCTGTCCAGTGATAAGTCGTGGTGTGTGTATAGTTAGTACTGTAGCACTGTTCAGCGTCAGACAGGGCTGCACACTAGGATCATTACATCTTCTGGAGGTGTCCTTGTCACCCATGAGCCAGCCCTTGAAACGCTGCTGAGAATAAACCTTTTGAAGAACTTGGGTATTATGTAGAATGTAAACACTGTGGCAGCTCCTTGGATAATGGGTGCTCATCTGCAGGAATTGCTGTCTCTGACCACAATTGAGCTGGGCATTGAGAGAGTTAAATCTCTTCCCGGTTATGAATCTGGCTGGATGATGCCAGTGAAGTATGAGTGCCACATGGGTGCGGTCAATAGTCCCTTGGACCTGAAGGAACCCAGCAATGGGTGCTATTTCCACAGGCTCTGGATATCTGGGTCTAAGGTGAGCTGGACAAACTGTGTTGCTTTCCTGTGAATGGCATCAATGAACTCTTGAGAATGCCTTTATGTGTTGGGAGATGCCACACATGTCCCCACTTGAGATTTGAAAGGAGCGTCATAGTGTCAGTGACCCGCTTCTATTCTAGCCTCGGGTGACTGTCTGTGTGGAGTTTACGTATTCTCCCTGAGTGCTCCAGTTTCCTCCCACAGTCACAAAGATGTGGAGGCTAGGTGGGTTAGCCCTGGGAAATTCAGGGTTACATGGATAGGGTAAAGCGGTAGGTCTGGGTTGGATGCTGTTCAGGAAGAGGGGGTGTTAGTGTGGACTCGACGGGCTGAATGGCCTGCTTCCACAATAGGGATTCTATGAAATGTCATGGACACAGAAATTCATCTAATGCCCGCTTGCATGCTTCAGCTGAACCTGCCTCCAGCCAGTGCATTCCTAGTCCTAACCACCCACTGAATAATTTCTTATATCATCCTTGCTTCATTTGCACATCACTTTAAACCTATACACTCTTGTTCTTGTTCCTTTCACAGGCAGGAACAGTTTCTCCCTATCTACTCTCTCCAGCCCATCTGGGATTTTGAAAACCTCTATCAGATCTCAGTCTTCTTTCCTCCGAGAAGAACAGTCCCAACACCTTCAATCTCCCTTCATCACTGACGTTTCTTATTCCTGAAACAGGACGGAATGGTTGTGATGTTTTTGTCTTGTTTATGACTCCCTTTGTGATGCCATGTGCTGGTCACTCGGTTGGCACAGCCACTTCACCAAGTTGGCATACACTCTGAGGCTAAAGCTGCATGAAATATGGTGACATAGCCCTCAGTATCAGGGGTGCAGCATGTCTCTCTGTCTGCTGGAGGAGTGTGTGCAGGGTAGACCACCGATCATTTGACTCCTGGGAGAACTCAGAACCTCCTTGTGCTCCCAACATAGATCATTTCCACTCAGGGTCTCATGCCCGGCTACTGGTGCCATGTTGGTCACTGTCGCCGCCTTCCTAAGTAGGATGCAGCAGGACCAGACTATACCAGGAGCAGGAGCAGCTGGTACAGAGGGTGAGGAGCACCCAACTTAGGAAATGGGGGGTAGCTGCAGAGCCCCTCAAGATGCACAGTGTCCACAGCATGCCATCTGGACAAGATCACACTGGTTCATTTCATTTCCCAAGGATGGGGTCAGTACTAGCCTTGGCAGGAGGATTCAGGAACATAGCTGTCTCCCGCCAGGTGCAGGGTGCCATCGAATGTACCCGCTCCCCCCACCCCCGTCCCCCATGGCACTGAGAGGGCAGTGTCACAAAACTGCGGCATTCATCACCAGGAGGGTGTTCCATTCCATTCATGTTCAGGTGATCAGTGATCACTGTTCCCACTTCCTGGAGGTGTGTGCCCACGGCCCTGGAAGCTACCTCCTCTCCTACATCCTGGAGCACTCTCACGTACCCGGTGTGTTTGAGAGAGTCCAGCGGCCTTACAAAGCTGGTTACTGGGGGCAAGAGGTACCCACTGCGACCATGGTTCATGACACCATTGAGTAACGCCCAGACTGATGCAGACACAGGTACAATGCTGCCCTGCTCGACCAGGGCCACGCGGAGCAGATGGTGGAACTGTTGATGATGGGGTTCCACTGCTTCTACAGGACTTGGTTGGGAGGGGGGTAACGGGTGGCCCTCTGGTATAGTCTGGACAGAATGCCTGCTCCAATTGTGCAGGATGCTGCAGCACAAAGAGGTGATGGTGATAGATGCTAAGAAACCAGGGGAATGGGAGCATTCTTCCAAGGAGGAGCAGCATGAGGACATTGCAAAGGAGGAAGCTCTCCTTGTCCATGACAGAGCCCAACTGCATCGGGTGTTACAACCCAAACAGGATCTGACCGACGCTCGATCCCAGTAGATGGGAGCTGGGTGCAGCTGACCATTGTGGACTGTATAGGAGTCATTGGTCACCATGCCAACATTTGGTTTTCTTTTTAACCTTAACAAAACTGAACAACACTTGAGAAAAGTGAGATTTCAGAATCTGATGACTGTATAATGTGAACAGTGCAAGTATTCAGTATTGCACAGTATTGGATTACAGTCAGAGTTGAGAGCATCAGCAGTCATTTTGGTTTTTTTATTAAAAAAAGTCTTTCAAACACTGCTTTAGTGTTTCAGACACCTGGCACACCAAAGTATCAAACTGTTTAAAATGAGATCAGCAGGCACAGTCAATAAGAGCTGTCAGTGAAGTAATGACTGCAATTCTGGCTAACTCTGTGGAGGCATTCCCCTCTTTACATTTAACTTTTTTTTTTGCAATGGGAGTTTTTATTAAGTCTTTCATTGGCATTTGTTACTGGTTGCTTTTTCTGAAAGACTTGCTTTACAATTTTCCCACAAGAAAAGCTGATTCTGTGACTCAGCCATCTCTGAGGTTTTCAAATGTAAAGGATCCAGATTATCCATATCATCTTGAATTCTGGCCCATAAAACACTGCTCCTCTTAGAAAAACGTTTGGTTGATATTTTGCAACAGGCTCATTAATTAAAATACTGAGTAGTTTATTTGTTCTCAAATCAGAAAGACATTATCCATGAGTTAGGTCCCTGTTATAAATAAATAGGAAAATAATGCAAATTAATTCTTCGGTCCTCACAAGGTAAATATTTAAACATTAATGTGCAACTTTTAGTAGAGACTAATAATGAATGCTCCTGATATATAGACCATGTTTTTGTACTAAACCTATGCCCATTAAATCCAAGGAGATAAGTGCTGAGGGATGCAACATGTTCCTGTTTTCTGCTT